CTCTTTCCTTCTCCTCACCTAAGGTTTCTTTCTCTCTTCCTTTTTCTCTCACATAATGGAGAGAGTTTTTTGTTGTTGTTAAAGTACCCTTTTGAAACAATTTTTTCCTCTTTTTGACTTTTAAAAGTTAAAATAAATTTGTTATATAGACCTTGTGCCCTACGCCAGCCCCTACGCCTACGTGGCCAGCGACTCCGAGTACTCGGCCGAGTGCGAGTCCCTCTTCCACTCCACCGTGGTGGACACCAGCGAGGACGAGCAGAGCAACTACACCACCAACTGCTTCGGGGACAGCGAGTCCAGCGTGAGCGAGGGCGAGTTCGCGGGCGAGAGCACCAGCACCAGCGACTCGGAGGAGAGCGGGGGCCTCATCTGGTCCCAGTTCGTACAGACGCTCCCCATTCAGGCGGTCACGGCCCCAGACCTGCACAGCAACCCCACCAAGACCTTTGTCAAAATTAAGGCCTCCCATAACCTCAAGAAGAAAATTCTCCGTTTCCGGTCCGGCTCTTTGAAGCTGATGACGACCGTGTGAGTGGATCTTGTCGCGGGGGGGAAGGAAAGGTGGCGTCTTAGCAGTGTTGTTGTGTAATAATTTCATGGAATGTTTTCCCCTCTGTGAAGATGAAACCGAAGTAAATTAATGTCTCTGCTTCATTATGTACGGACACTAGTGCCTTTAATGGAAGGTGAAGAATGTCTTGCTGGTTAGAAGTGAATATTGAGGTTTTCAGTGGTGGTGAATAATGCATACGTTTTGTGGTATCAGCTGATTTCTCTTTTAAATTTCCTGAGCACCTGTGATGGTTTCATTGGGGTGAGACCCATTGATCTGAAGGTCAGGTAGATGGAATTCTAGGACATACATTGGCTTCTTGGTTCTTTAGGGCAGTGTCTCCAGGAGGGCTTTCCTGTCGAGGGGCATCACATAATTGTGTGAAGTAGGTATGAGGGAGCGTGTTTGTTGTCTGTAATTTCTTATACAGCCTACATTTCTCAGACAGTCATACACCCCTATACACCCCTATTCTATCGTCTCAGAACTGTGTGGTTTACTGGACTCAGAACTTGAAGACCAGACCCTAAATCCAGAGAGCTAGTGACTTGGATGGAGAGGCTGGTAATACCCTTGAAGGGATTCACTAAACTTGTGCTACACTTGGTGCCTAGGCCCTGGTTAGGGTAAGCATTTTTAGGGCTGTTTATCCAACATTTTGATGCCTTTTTCCTCCCTAATTTGCAGCAAATCCAGCCATTCCTCCCTTGGAGGACTTGCCTTTGGGATAAAGTTTTGGTCCGTGGGTACAGAGAAATCACTCCTAATGAAATAACCTTGGGCGTGACTCCAAGCCCACAATTGGTCACTGAGCACTGTGCCACCTCCGCCTTGGCCCACACGTGTTAGTGCAATCCAGTCCAGATTGGACCACTGACCCTGTCTGGAAGAAGGGCTTTTTTTAAAAAGAAGAATTGTTTTTGGTAAACAGTATTGTGTAAAATTGCTTTTTTTTATACCGATACAAGCATGTTTTGTGCATGAGTAGTATTTGTTTTGGTATTCCTGTTGATGTTAAATTACTGTGTGATATAAACAGTATGTGTTTTTATATATCATTGTGTAAATTTAATATAACATTATATGCTGTAATAAATGACTTGTTTTACTGCTGTTAAGTTTGTTATTTGGGCATAAAACCAGATGTTTACACCTATAACTCTTGTACTGATTATTGTGGGATTTATATTGGGCCCAGTCTAGCATTAGAATATTATTTGCAATAATTAAGGCAGGTTTTAGTACTTTTTTTTTTTTTTTCAAATGGATGGTAATAAGGAGAGAAAGTAAACCACTTCTTTAAAACAGTTAAGGTACTTCTTTAAGATTTAAGGTAAATTTGATAGATGTGGTTTAAGGAAAATATTTCTTAGAATTCCCTCCAACTTTTTACTATAAAATATTTATAACATGGAAACATTGAAAGGATAGTACAATAAACACTTGTATAGAGACCACCTAAATTCAATAATTGCTAACATTATGCTATTCTTGCTTTTAACTCTCTATCTGTATGTATTAGGTTTAGCCATACTGCTGGTTTTGAAGGTCAAAGACAGATTTTGGCTATCTTTCCTCACCACACAGCTGTACTACTTTAAAGTAAATTTCAGGCGTCATGATATTTCATTTCTAAAAACTCAAGCATTTATTTCCTAAGAATGAAAGATTCTCTTATAAAACTACAATATGATCACACAAACACAAGGAAAATTGTCAGTAATTCCTAATACCAAATACTGTTTTGTTTCAAGAATTTTTTGTAAATCTTCACCCAAGGATATGTTTTTTTTATTGCTTTTGTGA